TAAATAATGAGGAAAAATAAATCAGCGCAAAAGAAATAATGCAAGAAAATTCACAGGTCATAAGGATTATCACAATAGAAAGATTGAAATGAATGGTATTGTAGAAAAGAACCAATTTCGAGAGGTCAACACAACTGAGGCTATCTAATCTCTCAATGCATCATTACTGTTAATATAGATTCGGTAATCAGAGACATCGTAAAAGCATCAGGATAGCGAAAAAACAATGTCATTAGAGCAAGAAAAACTTACCAACGGCACTATTACTATTGTTATTATATGCACTGGTGACGGTGGTGGTGGTAATGGTAGTCAAGGCAGTGGTGGCGCCCATGGTCGCACTATGCCCACGCAGTTCGTGAGCACTCGTTTGATTAGCCAATGCATAAGTTTGGCAAAGAGGGCAAGCAGCCAACGCAGTCGAACAGCAGCATCCGGCTGAACACTGAGACAATGGGGCAGCTGCAGTTACTGTGGAGACAGCCGGTTCGACAACAACTTCTTCACTCTCACTGGAAGGGATACGAGAACTTACAGCCACTTGCAATGCATTTAGGGAAGAAGAACCAGTACCAGCTACTGCCGTGGTTGTTGTTGAGGTCGGAGTCAATGAGTGTGGTATATGTGCGCACGACGGATTTGAGACAAGCTGGAGCTGGACTTCCGAGGACTCAGAATTACTGGCAGACTCACCAGGTGTCTCAAGAACTGGTTGAGATGCGGAAAATGCGGACCCTGAATTGAGGCCGGCAGGGGAGGCTGAGACAGGGACGGCTGAGGATGAACAAAGGTTCTGACTTAGTCCAACCCCAGGAACAGATGACGCATCCTCACAAGCAATGGCACTTGGTTCAGCCTCAAGACTGATTGCTCCAGTTGATTCTGACTTTTTGGCGCCGGAGGGCTGCATTCTACCGGTAAATCCCTTCCGAAAGCTTAATAATTCAACGGATGAACAGCTCGAAGCGCTTGGAGCAGATGTAGTAGTAGATGAGGTAGAGGATGAGGAGGTGGCGTTAACTGTAGCTACTGAATAGTCAAGACCAAGGGTCCTGCTAACTACGTGTGACGGTGTTGAGTTGACTTCGTCCGAACAAATGGCAGAGGCGAACCGAGAACCAGGTTGATCTGAGCGAGATGGCTTTGCAGGTTCAATTGATTCATTTAACTCAATTTCAGGAAAATATTCTGAAGAGACGGGTATCTGTTTTCCTTCAGAGTCGAAACGCGAAATATGCTCTGCTGGCAAGCTTCCATTAAATATATAAGTATGAAATTCAGAGGACCTGTTTGTAGGATCAATGACTGATATGCAACAAGAGGAAGCAAAAGTAGACTCATTAAGGTTTTATTCTAAGATAACAGTGCTCAGAAGAAATGAAGGACAAAAACAAGCTGAAAGAATTCAATCTTAATCTGCGTACTAAAAAGACTTATTATAGAAAAATTATATACCTTTCTCATTCAAATTAGATCTCTGAGCGGCAAAACAGCCACCTCGATTTGTTGAGTTTGAGCGAATTTGGTATTGCTGACAGGCGTCACAGAGAACAGAGGAGCATGTAGCCATATTTGTACCAGAACTTGTTCCACTAGAGCATATGCAAGATGAGCAATGTGATTTATTTCCAAACGCAGCATGCTTCGAATTTGCACTAGCAACCAAGTTTCGCCCTCCCCGTATCCTGCCTCGGCTGGAGTTGGGCGATTTTGAAGATGTACTGTCAGAAAACAAGGCAAACTCCTCAGGTTTCAAGGGCGATTTTTGAGAAGTAGAACGTATGGAACAACGAAGAGCGGACATTTTTAAAAGAGGATCGGCGTTTGCGCCTCCATTTTCATTAATATTGTTCTTCTCAAGCGATGAAAATATTTTACGATTAATATCACGGCTAATGGTCTTTTGACCCGTTTGCATTTTAGATTCATCAGACTTTCCACGAGAATCGTCTGATCTAGTGGAGTTGGCGGCTTCCCGATAATCAACTTCAGAGCTAACCCCCTGATTTTCATCACAGACTTCATGAATAGCTTCATCTTCCACCATGAGAGGCTTTGAGTAGGTATGCAAGGGGCGTTCTTCATTCGAGCTGGAGTCTGTTATGTGATTGTGAGCGTGAGGGCACGGTTGATGAAGAGCGAAGTGATGCAAGTGATTGTGATGATGATGGGTACAATTCCGGGTAGTGGCAGGGGAAATGATAGAATCAGATGGCTCTCGATCATTTGACGACTCTCTAGGTTGGCTAGAATTAGGAACTGCACAAGTTTCCGTAGGAAGAGAATGAGAATTGGCTCCAGTGCCACGACTGACAACAACCAAGGTCACATCGGTTAAGAGTTGCTTAAAAAGTAGACTTCCGATATCCTCATGTAGATTGCATTCTGGAAGAACAATTGGTTGACTGTTGATCTGGCCACTTTCCGACAAGGCCTCGCCCGCAACAGAAACCTAAGATATGTTAACATACTCCGATGGTTAAAATATCAAATAGTATGCATAAATA